AGTCTCTGGCCAGGAGGGATTTTATAGTACTGTACACAGGACAGCTGTTACCCTTCCCTTTATAGTTATGACAAAGTCTATAATATATAACTAAACTATTGTTGCATGTAAAGTAAATAAGGTTTTTTAAATGTTTAAGAAGCTTCATTTAAAATTAAATTAAAATGCAGAGCCCCCCAGACCGGTGGCCAGGACCCGAGCAGTGTGAGTGCCACTGAAAATCAACTCACATGCTGCCTTTGGCACGCATGCCATAGGTTGCCTACCCCTGTTCTACACCAACAATCACAAACCAACAAGCACAGATGCCCAAGGCTTGGCAACAAAGGCTGAATCAGTCCCAGATTGGGAACCCCAGAGAAACTCTACTCTGAAATCTCCACTCCCTGTAACCTTCCATTGATGTTAGACCTAGGTGCTACAGTAATACAAATAAATCATCATCATCGTCATCACTCAGAGCAGATGCATTTGGTTCCTAAATCATCCTTCTCAAGTAGCCCACAGTCATATCAAATCCCAGTGAATGCTTTCCTTCTCCACTTACCTGAGAGAAATGAAGTGATGTGATGCAAAAGCAATGAGTTGTCTCCCAGTACAAGGGCAGTCTCACCTCTGTCTCCCCCAATGGACAGTATCTAGGTTACTGGAGAGGATCTAATGAGGCTTGTTATCATCCCAAAGAAAGGCGAAGATCCCTGAAGAGTCATGGATATTGGATATTTATAAGTGTTTTGACCGTATCAGGCTGTCTCCAGTTTTTCCCATAGATGGTCTGAAGTTCTGTTCATCCGTCTCCCACGCACCAGTCATACGCCTCATCTCTTCCACATGACTGACAGCTCTGAAGTGGTGATGACCCATTCTCGCACTCATGGAAGGAAATGAGAATTGTTACTAAACAAGAAAGCTGCTTCCTGGGTGGTGCAGAGTGTGTGCACATTTGCATGGAATGATGTGGGCAGCCAAGAGCCAGGCAGAGAGGCTGAAGCTGATTGTCTATGCAAGGAGCTTCCCTCTGTGCCCCTGGCATGTGAATTAATCAAGCAAATGTGAATGGATTGGACACCCAAGGCCCTGATCCTGCAAACACTTCCAATGATGCCCTGCTGAGGCCATCTGTGGGGATTGGATCTGGGACTGCTGGACTAAAGCCATGACTCTCTTACTGCTAGAGCTAACGAAGCAGTGGCATTACATCAGAGACAGTAGCAGATCTGACATCTATGCTGTGCTCCAGACTCTGGAAGTGGACAGATAGCCACGCTATCAGAATGGGTTATGCACTTGGGCAGGTGTGTAACCCTACTCACGTGTAGTGCCACTGAAATAAATTGAAGCACTCAGATGCATACTTATGTGCATGATAGGTTCCAATCTTGCTAACACTTAAGGAAGCACAGAAAGACTGTTCTACAGAGACCACGGATACACACACACTTCTATCAACATGTCATCAAATGCAAAAAACAGTGTGCGAGAGGTCCATTGCATTTAAGAATGTAATGACAAAATGTCAAGATAAGAATATTAAACCTTACAAGTATCACATCAACATTTATTCAGTACTTGTCACTAAAGAAAAATGCATTAATCAAGTTATGTTTATTCCAGTAATACCTGGTGATCCACTGAGAGCAGGGCCCCATTGCACTAGGTGCTGTATATACACACATTAAGAGACAGGCTTTGCCCCAAAGAGCTTACACTCCAAATAGCCAAAACATCCAAAGGGCAGGAGAAAGAGATATAACATCCAAAATTCTTGGGAAAGCTCTATGGACATCTTAAGGAGAAATCTATTCCTCATAAGATAATGACAATTTTTTAAAACAGAGCTGTTTCAAGTCAGTATTTCACTAAATGGAAAAAACTTTCAGTCACACTTGGTAGCAAGATTCCACATATGGGTTAATAAATGATTATTAGATGTTAGAAGCATGTTACAGACATTAATGGCATGTATTGTAGTAGGTTATAAGCACATCAGTAGAGACTGTTAGAAGTTTATAGGCCATGATTACAAGCAACACATTGTCCTGTTGGCCTTAATTCTTACCGATTGTTATAAACTATTTGTCAAAAACAGTCATTGTGTACTAACCTGTTATAAGCTATTTGTAAATGTACTGTTAATGGAGACCAGACTTTTAAATCTATTGAGGCACATCCTGGTGTTTTAGGATCTTTTTCTTGGATTGACAAGTAAATACCTTAATAGGAAATTCTTCTGGCATTCAAATGCTGTATTTGCATGTCTCAAACTACATCTGCAGCCTGGAATGCCTGACGTGCGGCATCCATTAAAGGACACCACCATTCAGAAGTAGAGATAGTGGGGGTACCTCTAAAAACATGTTGGAAAACTAACATTTGTTGAAATTCTGCAGATTTGCATTACAATACGTATGCTCACACTTTAAATATTTGTGAAGCTACCCTCAGCTACGATAGCTCATCACTGCAACTTTAGTTTCCTAACTACTATCCCAAATTATGTATAGGCCCTTCCTTCCATCAGTGTTTCCCCAACCCCTCCCAAAATGCTATAGCATTACCAACCCCAAGCATTCAAAAAGCATGACATTTTGAAATAAGTTTTGGATTCTTTTTGTTTGCATTCTGGTTTTTGAGCCATTGGGGTTCATATTTTCCATTTTTCCTCCACAACCATGAGGACTAGAAACTTTGTTTTTCAATGAAAGCTGAGATCTTCATATGACTCCAGGCACTGGGGCTTTGAGAAAAACATCCAGTACTGGGAAAGCTGGCAACCCTGATGCTACTTAAAAAACAAACAAACAAACAAACAAAAAACAACAGCAAAAAACCCAATCCTTTTGAAACTAGAAAAATCTAAAATGAAACCAATAAGTAGTGTCTGTTTATGCCACTTTTTTTTGTTGCTGTAAATAGATATTCATGATTTTAAAAGTTCCTTTGCATGAATTTGTGATGCATTCAAATGCAGAGCAGTATTACTTTCCTGCATGTTCACTCATGCCGTATGATTGAATGTAACAGCTATCCAACAGCTCTAGGTTTCCTACCTGTATGTTTAATTTTATTAAGGAGGATAGGTGGGCGTGGACCACTGACAAACTAGGTTTCCTAGCCAACTTTCAATTGGCCACTGTTGATAAGAGAGTATGCTGAACAATCTAAGTGGTCATCGTTGTACTAACAGTTTATGAACCAATATTAGACTGATGGCTAAGAAAACGTTACTCACCCTGGGCCGTAACTGTAGTTCTGCGAGATGTGTCCCTATGCGTGCTCCATTTCAGGGCCACCTGCACCTCTCGAGCCCTTGATTGGAGATTTCTAGCTGGCAGTGCCCATTCAGCCCATGCATGTTCCCTATGCCTCCTGGTGGCAGACACCGAGGATACATAGGGGTGCTCTGGCAACCCGCCTTCAGTTCCTCCTCTGCTCAGTCATCCCCTAAGAAACAACCAAAGCAGAGGGGAAGGACAGCGGGTAGTGGAGCACCCATAGGGATTATCTTGAAGAGCTCCAGTTACTGCTCAGGGTGAGTAACATTTCCTTCTTCTTCAAGTCGTATCCCATCCCTATGTGTGCCCCATTTCAGAGCAGTATCCAATGAAGGGGGCAGGAGTTTCAGAACAGAATCCAGAACTGAAGACTGTACTGTAGAGCCAAACACTGCATCGGATCTAAGGGCATGGAGCAGGGTGGAACACTTTGAAAATATATAGATTGGAGACCAGGTAGTTGCTCTACATAGCTTAGATACTGGGACATTCTTCAAAAATGCAGTAGTTGTTGCTTGCGATCTGGTTGAATGCACTCTCAGACCTGGAGGTGCTGACCACCTGCAACGTCATAACAGGTGTAGATACTACAAATTATCCATTTTGAAAGTCTTTGTGCAGAAATGGAAGCCCTCTCAGATCTGTCTGCAAAGGCTACGAAGAGTCTAGGTAATCTCCTAAACTGCTTAGTCCTATCAAGGTAGAAGGCCAAGGGCCTTCTAAAGTTCAGAGTCTGGAAAGAAGATTCCCAAATTGTGAGGCTTTGGAAAAAATTCTGGTAGATGGATAGATTGGTTAAGATGAAAATCCGATGTAACCTTGATTAGGAACCTAGGATGCGGATGTAAGGAGACCTTATCACAAAAGGACATGGTAAAGGGGGGATCTGCCATCAAGGCTCCATCTCCCTGACCCTACGGGCTGACACGATGGCAACTAGGAAGGCTGTCTTCATAGATAAATGAAGTAGGGAACAGGTTCAAATGGAGGTCTTGTGAAGTGATTGAGAATCAGGTTGGGGTCCCAAGATGGGGTGGGATGTCTAGTGTAGGGGTAAGAGATTACCCAGACCCTTAATAAGTTTGGAAGACACCCGGTGAGCAAAAATGGAGAATCCTTTGACAGGGGGATGGAAGGCTGTACCTTGACGTAACTGATGGATAACCCAGATGTCTCCGGATCCAGCAACCAATCTAGGATGAGGGAAAGGGAAACTAATTCAGGCCTGAGGCAGTAGTGACAACTGTATCAATGGATGAATCTCTTCCTTTTCTGCAGGTAAGTAGTGTGGGTTGACATTTTTCTACTGTTTAATAACACCAGCTGCACTTCTATAGAGCAGGAAACCTTTAATCCTGAGAACCATCCAGGAGCCAGACTCTGGGGTGTAGAACTGCCAGGTTGGGGTGAGGTGTGACCCAGATCCTGAGACAGGAGATGAGGACTGTCGGGAGCTTGATTGGCAGTTGGACACAGCTGAAGTAGGTAAGGGTACAAAGCTTGCCTCGGCCAGGTAGGTACTATGAGGATAACTTATCCGGCCTGAGCTTGTTCATCATCCTTAGGCTTCTGCTAGGAAAACACAAGTGTCCTGGGGAAAAAAAAGAGGGAAATGGTCCTATCACCTAAAACTAACTAACTAGATGTAACACTAACAACAACTCTAACTCACTTTGATAGAAAAAAGAGTGAAAGAGAGCTGAGTATGCTCTAGGCAGACACGCTAGTGTTCCGTCTCAGGCCAAGGCAGTAGATAAGGAACTGAGGGTGGTTCACCTGCTCACCTCTTTATAGACCTCGGTGTCTGCCATGAGGAGGCACAGTGCACGTGTGCGCTGAATGGGCACTGCTAACTAGAACGCTCCAATCAAGGGCTCAAGCAGTGCATGCACACCTGATGCACAGGACCCATAGGGAAACTACTGAAAGAAGAACTACCCTGATGGCCCTTGAAGTATCAGAAACAAACCCCAGAAATTCACCTACTATCCTGCCTAATAAGGCTGGTGGTAAAAAGGTGAGACAGCAAGAGGTATTCTCTCTGTCCCAGAAGCGAGTGTCTGAACCAGGACAGCCCCATGAGTTGTAGGAGAGCATGTAATTGCAGTGCTGAGAAGATTAGAGAGAATGCTCCTTTCTGGGTTTAAACACACGCAGCTGTGGAGCAATACTGGCCAATGGAAGTGACAGCATTAACCTGTCAGAAAAGCCGGGATTGAATGAGCTACACCTGCGGGAATTCTGCACCACTGTGCAATGCAGAATTTTGCAGAAATTAACATTGTGTATGAAAAATTTCCTTCCCCACTCCGCTCGAAATGGGCTGCTGTGCTGCTAGCCACCACTAGGGGCCACGGAACTCAGTGGAGCCCAGCTCACACATAGAAGACACTGCTGGCTGGGGGGGGAGGGGGAGGGAGAGGGAGAGGGAGCTAGAGTAGAGGTGGGCAAACTTTTTGGCCTGAGGGACACATCTGGGTATGGAAATTGTATGGGGGGGGCATGAATAATCACGAAACTGGGGGCTGGGGTGCGGGAAGGAGTGAGGGCTCCAGCTGGGAGTGCGAGCTCTGGGGGTGGGGCCAGAAATGAGGAGTTCAGGGTGCGGGAAGGGGCTCCGGGCTGTGGCAGGGGTGCGTGTGTGTGAGGGCTCCAGCTGGGGGATGCAGGCTTTGAGGTGGGGATGAGGGGTTGAGGGTGCAGGAGGGTGCTCCAGGCTGAGACCGAGGGGTTTGGAGGGCAGGAGGGGGATATGGGCTGGGGTAGGAGGTTGGGCTGCAAGAGGGGGCCAGGATTGCAGGCTCCAGGCGGCGCTTACCTCAAGCAGCTCCTGGAAGCAACAGCATGTCCCCCTTCGTCTCCTATGTGGAGGTGAGGCCAGGTGGCTCTGTGCACTGCTCCATCCGCAGGCACCACCCCTGCAGCTCCCATTGACCATGGTTCCTGGCCAATGGCAGCTGCAGGGGAGGCACTTGGGGTGGGGACAGCATGCGGAGCCCTCTGGCTGCCCCTGTGCATAGGAACTGGAGGGGGACATGTTGCTGCTTCCAGGAGCTGCACGGAGCCATAGCACATGCGGAGTGGGGGCAAGTCCCCAACCCCCCTCTCCGGCTGGAGCCCCGGAGCAGGGCAAGCCCTGGACCCCGCTCCCTCGCGGAAGCTTGAGAGCCAGATTAAAATGTCTGACGGTCCGGATGCTGCTGTAGTTTGTCTACCCCTGAGCTAGAGGGTTCCCAGCATGCCCTGAGGGGAGGAGAGGGCAGCGCACAGAAAACTCTGTGCAAACCTGGGACTAAGCATCAGGCTGTTTCTCCCTCTGGATCCCTGGGCTGTCGGGAGAAGAGGGGCGGGTGTCTGGGCGGGGGGGGGCATGGTTGGACTCTGGGGAGTAGAGGGTTTGGGTGTATTGTCTGGGGGGGCCCTGCAGGTGGGCTCTGGGGAGGAGGGGTTGTGGGTATCTGGACCCCTGACTGCCTTCTGGGGGGAGGGCGGAAGAGGGCAAGAAACAAGAATTGGGTTGTCATAGGAGTTTCTTTAACTGTCTACTCCCGGCAGAATTTTTGTCTGTGTCTGTATTGTTACAGATATACCTGGCATGATTATGTAGTGTTATTTTGACAAATAAAATTTGCAGAATTTTGAAATATTGTGCGCAGAATTTTGAAATTTTTGGCGTAGAATGTCTCCAGGAGTAATGAGCAAAAGGAGATGATTTTCCTCTTCCCTCAAAGATGAGGCTCTCTGGTGGCATGAGAAGGAATGCTGAGATCCAAGGACTAGAGTCAATCAAGAGGAAAATCGGGTTTCTGAATCAAACCCATTATTTGCCATCATAGTTGTTCTTAGAGAGACGATCGCACCCAGGGATGATTGCACCCTGGATAGTAGCTCAATCTCCGGAAAGTAGTGACCCTGGGCCCAGTTGCCCTGCCCCCCTCATACAGGGCTCTCTGTAACAAGAGGTACTTTCCTCCCCACTCTTCCCAGCATCTGAGGGAACATCAGGGGAAGTCAGTGCCAGAGCGGGGGGGGAGTAGATGCTGAGGTATCACCGACACCTCTCCCTGCTCAGTGCTGAAACAGACAGAGAGTGCTGCATTTCTCTGCCTTGGGCAACACAGAGAGGTGACCTGAGAGAACTGAGCCTCTACTCTTTTTCCCTTCAGCCAGCAAGCTATGCCCCCGCCCCATGCAAAACTGGGGTCCTGAGCCTGTTCAGCACCTGCACCCACCTTCGTGCTCCTGGTCAGCTGAGGCAGGACTTTGATGCCCCTTTAGCTGGAGTTAAAAGCCACTTGGGCGAACAGGCTGGAGTGGAGATGCTCAGTGTCAATGATACCTGATGTTTGGTATTGGATGAGACCAGGGACTCGGCCACTTTGTGCAGGACAGAAGAGGACTTTGGGAAGTAGGTCTTTGGAATAGATATGCCTCTGGGCATCGCCACTGAACGCTCTGTATCGGACTCAGTCGCTCAGGCCTGGAGAGTCTTTCTGTTCAGCAGGGGTTTGAAATGATTTTCTGATCTTCATGGGTTCAGATATGAGGCAGATGGGCCACCTCTCTGACTTGTGACCTTCTGTCAGGCACCAGACTCTGAATGTGGGCTCTGAAACAGGCATCATGCTGAAGCATGAAGCACAAGCCCTGAAGCCAGCTTAGCGATGTCTGCGAGGCCAGCTGTTAGGGAGCTGACTGCAGCCAGGGAGGACACTTAGAAGAAAAGCTGGCTGAACAAGACTGACATTGGGAAACGGAACTAATGAATGTGCCTCCAAGTCAGCAGGGCCCCAGACAATATAGGCAATGGGCAAGCTTAGAGTTGACCATAATAGCTGAGAATTTTAAACACAGCTTGGCCTTGTCTACACTAGATGCAAAGTAGTATTTAAAATAGCGTTTGCTAACATATTTCAAAATATAATCGACTTTCCCAGTCTAGATGTGACCACCAGTGGAAGCAGGGAGAATACAAAACATGCTCTAAGCACCTTCAGTTGTCAGCAGGAACTGATGAGCGGTTTGTGCTGGGCTCCTTATTTACACCTTTGCATGAAAGGCGCGGTGGTGGCAAGTACTCTTAGTGGACCTTGCTTTGCTTTCTAGAAGCTCCTGTGGTCTGGGGGATGTGCTTATCCTGAATGTGGGAGTCCACATGGGCAGTTCTTCACAGAGAGTCAGTTGTCTTCCTCCAGGAGAAAATCTGAATTTGCCCTAACATGGAAATACCCGTTTATTCTCGGATAGCATGACTTACTCAGCTCAACCTAGTGATTAGCTTAACCTTGAGAAGGCAGGTGACAGCACCAAAGAAACATTCCCTTAAGAAATTCATGGTATTGAAACAGCTGACAAAGGAGAGTAATACGAGGAGTTTCTTTTTACAGAAGGAAGAGGAAGTGTTTTTTTCCACCGGAAAAGTGTTGCAACTTCATCTTGTGTCCTTGATACGTCAAACCAGCATGAGCAGCCTGCATTGCTACACCAATGGTCTGATCAGCTGTGGCTCAAAGCAAACCACACAGTATGAAACATCAGAAATAGTTTTTCTTCACAAGTCTGTAGCATTCTTACCCTCCCTCATTTAGGGATACAGCCAAATATTTTTAGAACTATATGGGAGGGCAACATCTTTCTGAGTAAGAGGTGAAACGTTCACATTTCACATAATCAATTCCAGTTGTGAAAGCACCAATATAATCAGTCTGGATGAACAGCTCAATATACAGTTGCTAGTGGTGAGGATCATAACGATGACCCTGTACAAATGACTCAGATCTGGCAAGATGTTTTCATTCATTTTTTCTCTCCACTGTTAACATAGCTTGAGTGTTGTATAATAGCTGCTGAAAAGCTGGTGGTCACTTAATCTAGGAAATCTGCATACCTTTTGGCAGAGGTTAATATATCACCAGCATGGGGACAGAAGTCAGATGCCATGACCACCTATTTGTATCAAGACACTTCAGTGTAGCTTTGTCACAGCACAATCTAAATGCTGTGCTCCACAGAGTTGAAATGATTTACACCTAGCAAGGGACATAGGTCAACAGAAAGACGTTCTATAATACTTTAGGAGCAAGAGAAAGCCAAAAGAAAGCATAGGTCCTCTACTTAGTGAGGAAGGAGAGGTAATAACGGATGACACCAAGAAGACTGTGGCATTTAATGATTATTTTGCATCAGTCTTCACAAAAAAGGTTGTGTGGCCAAATTCTTAATACAATTAGTATTTAAAACAAGAGAGAAGGAACACAAGCCAAAATAGGGAAAGAATAGGTTAAAGAATAATTAGATGGATTCAAGTTGGCATGGCCTGATGAAATTCACCCTAGGGTACTCAAGGAACTAGCTGAAGCTATCTTGGAACCATTAGTGATTATCTTCAAGAACTCATGAAGAATAGATGAGGGGGTCCCAGAGGACTGGATAAGGGCAAACACAGAACCAGCCTTTTAAAAGGGGTGGGAGGAAGGGAACTGAAGACCAACAACCTAATTTTGATACATGGAAAGATACTGGAATAAATTATTAATTTGTAAGCACCTAGAGGGTAAAAGGTTACAAGGAATAACCAACATGGATTTGTCAAGAACAAAGCATGTCAAACCAACCAAATTTCCTTCTTTGACAGAGTTACTACCATGATGGATGGATGGAATCTGCAGCCATGATATATTTTGATTTTAATAAGGTTTTTAACACAGTCCCACGTGACATTCTCATATGCAAATCAGGGGAAAGTGATCGAGATTAAATTACTATAAACTGGGTGCACAACTGGTTGAAAAATTGGACTCAGAAAGAAGTTATCAATAGTTTGCTTTCAAACTGGGAGGCTGGCTCTAGTGGGATCACACCAGGGTCTGGTATGATTCAATAGTCTCATTAATGACTTGGATAATGAAGGGGAGAGTATGCTTATAAAGTCTGCAGATGACACCAAGTTGGGAGGGGTTACAAGCACTTTGAAGGACAGGATAAGAATTTAAAATGAGCTTGACACATTGGAGAACTGGTCTGAAATCAACAAAATGAAATTCAATAAAGACAAGTATGAAGTACTTCACTTAGGAAGGAAAAATCAAAATGTACAACTACAAAATGGTGAATAATTGGCTAGGCAACAGCATTGCTGAAAAGGCTCTGGGGTTATGGTGGATTATAAATTGAACACAAGTCAAAATGTGATGCAGTTGCAAAAAAATACATCATTCTGGGGTGTATTAACAGAGGTGTAATTGTCACTTATTGTCCTTCTCTATGTGGCACTGATGAGGCCTTAGCTAGAGTGCTATGTCCAATTCTGGGCACCACACTTTAGGAAACATAAATAAGCTGGAGAGAGTCGAGGAGAGCAACAAAAATGATCAAAGGTTTTGAAAACCTGACCTGTGAGGAAAGGTTAAAAAAACTGGGCAG